CGGCCGGCAGCACCCTGGGGGCACGCTGGCAGGGCCCAGGCTCACAGCTCCTCTGCCGGAGCCAGCTGGTCGCTGGATGAACAAGGCGGACTAATGACAACCAGGAAAGGAGGAACCGGCAACTGAGCCGCTCTCCCCAGGCACTGCTGCAGGGCAGGATGTCGCAGGTTTGAACGGCTGCAGGAAAGATTTAATCTAAAAGTAGCAGCTCTCAGGGGGCAGCTGAGCAGGGGCTGGGTTGCCTGCGGCAAGGAGGAAAGCCCATCATCGGGTACATAAGCCCGGGCCAGCCCAAGCGCAGGGGGGATGGGCTGAGAACAGCTCTTGCTCTGGGATGGGTTAGGCACCCTTTGAAAACCCGGCTTGCTGCAGCTTGGGGAAACACGGACCTTTTCAGCAGCTCCTTTCCTTGGAAGCCACAATTAAAACTATTTTAAAAGAAAACAAACGTTTCTCATCAAAATGCCTGTCTGTTTGTGGCCTGCAGCTGAAGGTCTTGTCATGGGGCAAGGCTGCTCAACACCAGCAGCTTCCCGAGCCGCCTTCGGGCAAATCCACCCGAGCTGGACTCAGTTTCGGTTGCGTTTGGTAATCAGCCCTTGGAAATTTTGCATCTTTTGCAGAAAGTCAGACAGGCTGGACTGGTGCTCCCCTGTTTTCCCCAGGGTCTTTGTTTCTGGGGTGGCAGCGAGCTTATGGCTTCAGTATTTATTGTGCGAAACAGCTGCATGGGCCATACCCCATCCTGTGGGCACTCCTGCACCTTTTTCGGATGGAGCCTGGTCCCCCAGGGCGCCGTGCCCCTGTGCCACATACTGCGCTGCCGGGCAGCGGAGGACAACTTCTGGAGGGGAATGGTGCTGCTGCCGGCAGGACAATAGCGGCTGTGGTTTTAATTATTGGGGTGTAGTTGTGTGGAGCGGAACGAGAAACCGAGAGCAGCGAAACCGCAGGGAGAAAGGCAGAAAGGATGGTCTCTGGGGCTGCCTGATGGGAGGCATGGTGGAGGTGGCTGGACCGTCCCGCGGCTGGGAGAGCACTGGCATCGTCACCGGGTTGTGGTGCGAGGGCAGGAACGGCAGCGCGGCTCAGCGGATGTCATGTTTCCCTGTGACTGTTGTGCTGTTGCCCGGGGCCGTCCCTTCCCATCACAGCTTGGCACGAGTTGTTGCTGCCTAAACTGCTGGTACAGAAACAAAGCACCGTGCAGTGACTCGGGAGCATGGACCCGGACCGGTTGCAGGGGAAAGGGGGACACAGAGATAAATTGGGTCCCTGCCCCAGATGCCCCCTCATCCCTGCACGTGCCCCTCATCCCTGCACGTGCTACTGGTGCCAGTCTGTGCCTGGGAGCAGGGACGTTTCTCACTGCGTTTCCATTCACCCAGCGCTTTAACAGACGCGTTTGCTGCAGTGTTGACTTTCAAAGGGCTGGATCAGCTCTGCAGCCGGGCAGAGCATGGGAGGAGGATGCCTGTCCCGCTTAGGAAACACAAAACAATAAAAGAGGAACAATGGAGCCTCCTTCCCTTCACCCAAAATACCAAACGCCACCAAACTGTGGCAGAGCTCGAGCAGTGCTGCTGGGGCAGCTCTCGTGTGCCCTGGCCTGAGGGCAGCTCCGGGCGGGGGGAGCTGCAGACATCTCCTCTTCCTCAGCCGTGGCAAGGGATGTTGCAGGAGGATGGATGCCAAGGAGCATCGCCAAAGGGCTGCCCTGACCCAACACTGCTGTTGGTGGGCATTGACAGCTTTGGAAACCGTGTTTGGGCCAGGGCAGTGGTTTTGCAGCATGGCTGTGCCTTGGGGAAGGGTTTTGCAGGCTGCCCGGGTCAGCTGAACATGCTTTGCAGCTGCGCAGGGGTCTGGGAAGGTTTATAAAAGCATCTGCGTACCCAAACTTGTCAGACTGTTATCAGGCAGAGAACACGTTCACGTGGTGCCAAGCGTGGGGAGATGCTCAGCCAGGTTGGTCAGAGCTGAGAGTCCTGGGGTGGGGACGGATCTAGGCCCCAGTCGGAACCCACACCCCGAGCATCCTCTCGCCTGGCCCTGGTGCTGCCAGTGGCCAACAGTTTTTCAATGCACGGCTGCAGCGGGTGCTTGGGGAGCGCCCTGAGGGGCTGGGGCTGAGCATCCCGGGTGTGCTGAGCCTCGAGGGGGCCATTTGCTGAGCTATGAGCGGATGGTGCCAGCCCGTCCCCACCGGCACTGCCCGCACCTTGGCTGCGCGAGGCTGCTGGCACTGTGCCAGCCCTGCCGAGGAGGGCACACAAGTCGACGCGTAAGCCCTCGCGGGTACCCCACCCCGAGCATCCTCTCGCCCTGGTGCTGCCAGTGGCCAACAGTTTTTCAATGCACGGCTGCAGCGGGTGCTTGGGTAGCGCCTTGAGGGGCTGGGGCTGGCATCGCGGG